TATATATATATATATATATATATAATGAACAAATTCAAGTTACTCAGCAAAAAAATAATTAAATTACTACTAATTCATATCAATAATTATTGCGTTCCACCACAAAATTAGCAATATTCTGATACTTTACAAGCTACGATAATATATGTCAGCAATATTTATCATAAAATCAGTTGATATCAAGAACTGAGAATGTAATAAATATGTGGTAAATATGGTCATGGTGGTACTGTTCTTTTAAAGCTTTCCATTGGGGCTTAAAACTATATTTGTTTTATATTTTACATTTGTGTCATAATATGTTATGAAAGCTTACTTTACAGAAATTGTGATAGTTCCATCAACGCTCTAACCCTTTGCTTTTGTTTGAATCCCTTAATAAATATAACTGTCATATACTCAGCAATAATTTAAAACAAAAGGTAAGTAACACCCATTAGATAACACTAAACAAGTAAAACAACAATGATGCATGGCGGCAGAAGCAGCATTTCCCTCTATACAATAAATGTCAGTACATAGCTCAAATGTGTTCATTTGTACTATAACCGTAAATTTCTACTTTATTAACTCTTCACACAACAAAACAAAATGCATTTAAGTTAGTAAATTCCCCAAAATTAATTCATGCAATAACAATGATAGTATGATATTTTATGTAGCAAATATTCCAAATTTTGAAATCTAAAAATTTGCAATAAAAATAACCAACAATGGAACGTAACTTAATTACGTTCCATTGTTGGGTATTTTTAAACAACTTCTATTATAAAAACAAACTAATCTAAGTGTTAGATTAGTTTGTTTTTATAATAGAAGTTGTTTAAAAATACCCAACAATGTAACGTAATTACTTAGATTAGTTTTTTTTTATAATTGAAGTTGTTTCATATAATTACAATGATTATAGATAATAATCACAACAAAGTTTAGTGGTTTATTCCTTGTCAAGATTTCACTCATCTTTGTGTTTTGAATACATTAACTTTTTAAACGACGAGGACTCAAATCAGAAAAATGTATAATCTGTTATTTATGTATTTAATACTTACATTTTGTCAACTAATATTGTGCTATACTTGTCACTATGAATAGAATAACTACTGATTTAAACTTCATATTAAATGCTCAAGTTCAAACGAAAAACAAATGCATATAAACCAAACTACAACAAAAATGGAAGAAACTTACGGAGTTTTGGAATGACTTTGGGCTTGACACCATCTTGCCATGCTCCTCTTGATTCAATGAAGTAAAGGAAAAAAAACAGCAGCTGGTGTCTGGTACACAGCCCAAGAATGTTTACCATGATTCAGGTAGTTCAGTACTTTTAAGCAGAGCCCTTCATTACATCAGTCAGTGCAGCATGGTGTCATCTTTGTTTAGAACCTGTAACAGAAAACTACATCAAAACAAGTCAATCAAGTAATCAACAGGTTAACTGCTAATGATGTGAACTCCTGCTTGAAACACAGCACAGTAAAAATACATTTCAAGAGTGTTGAAAGCTATTCAACTTATTACATATTCACTTAAAATCATATTTTATTTGTCTATGCTCACATTCCTCATTATCATCTCCAAAATAGATTTGGTATGGAGACATTCAATAAAGGAACCTATAAATTCCTTGTTTTTTTTAGAAGTGAAACCCTTACCACATTTTATCTGTAGTAAGCCAGTGGATTTTCAAATGAAGTTTAAAAAGTCTAATGAAAAGTTTGTGGCAAACTGTATAAAAAAGTATCCCTTACCATCAGGTATAATAGATACCTTTAAAAGAACACAGCTACTGATATGAAAGTTACATAAACATTTTTTCATATTTTTATTAAATTTCACAATCTAAGTTACTGTCCTATCAGTTAACATGTGTTTGATTAAACTGTTTTCTCTATTACCTTTGGTGAGCTCATTTTCACAGCTGCACAGCTCTTGTGTCCCTTAAGTGTGTGTGTCTATATAGGTTCAAAAATTCAATTTAAGACATAAATACAAAACTCTACAACTGGAGCACTTTTGAAAGGTGGACCTTTCTTGCCCCAATGAAGAAAGGTCCATTTTTCAAAAGCACTTGGGTTAGAAGGTTTTGTGTTTTTGTATGTATACTGTATTTAGTTTTTAAAACTCACACTTGATTATTTATCAGAGCTTACTCGTACTTACAATTTATTTTGAAAGAATTAAACTGCATAGTTCGAATGAATAAAATGAAATCACTATTTACCGATAGGAAGTTTGTTGTTTTATTTAACTTGTTCAGTGGAAACTTGTGATTTTCATACCTTGTTTTGTGCTTCCTATTACCTTCTCAACAAGTCTGTGCACACAATTATTTCCACAATAATTGGACGTCTCCTAGAATACGTCAGTGTTTCATGGAGTTTAAAGTTGAAGATACAATACCAATTTAACACTTTTCTATTTACAAAAGTTAAAACTACATAGTTTCTTAAGATCTTGACAATAAAATAAAACGTTCCTGATGTAACAATTATATCTTTTATAAACAAGGGATAAATAATTATTTTTGTTGTTATATATGAAATCTATAAAATAAGATGAAAAAAAGTGTTCTTTTTTATTGCTATGTACGAAATCTACAAGATAAAGTATTCAATATATAGTAACAAAGTGTCTTTTCTTGTTACACATGACAGTCTCTATAGACTTGAAACAGCCTGATGACATTTCTCATCATTCTTCGTGAACTTGGGAAAGTAAATACTTACAAAGATTTCACATTATATCATATTTATCAAAGTTACTAAGTTCCACCAAGTGTCACTAGATTCATAAACACATTGATAACGAAATAACGGTCATGATTACAAAATCAAAAATATTATTACCATGGATATTCCAATTTCATGTCCAGCTTTTCGACCTTTTGTATTATAAATTCTACACACACAGACAATTCCTTTAGATTGGGGGGAGGGTGAGTTGTTTGTGGTCTGCCCCGTTTGATAGTTACCTATGTGCTCATTTATTGGAAGAAACCCCAAAAGTAGATAGATAAATGTCACGTCAAACTAGTAAGATACGCTGTAGATCAACAACCTCGTGTTAACACGCGCCACTTGTTCACCTTTTCTCTCGTTCGTTTGCTGACGCCTTGTGCTTTGGTCGGACTACTGCAAGCACACTAAAGAAACCCCCTATTCACTGAGTATAGCTCCCTCCCCCTCCACGGCACCAACACGCTCTCGCCATGTGGATAAAGCATTCACTCATAGTAATTACACCATCCATGCTACACACCCGTGCAGAAAGCAAGCAGGCTGTACTATACTGACGGCCTAAGGGTAAACTTGCAGTCATCGTACAAGACCCAACCAACACGATCATAAGTAAAATAGTACGTTGGTCGAGAGCTCCAGGCCCACCGCAGATCGATCTGAAAAGCAGCAGTGAACGAAAAAATCCAATAAGTTTCCGAGCCTTTCATTCTGTACGAAGACAACATTTATGCACATTCGAATAAAGAAGATATCCTATACACAGAAGGGTTTTTCAAGCAGGCAATTAAAGCCTTTAAAAACATATTCCTTAAACGTTTCTTCCATCTTGTGGTGCTGTATTACTCTTTCTAAATTACAGATTTTTCTCCTCTTTTGTTTTCTCAATCGTATTATGGTTTGGAACCTACTATAAACTGTATTATGGTTTGGAACCTACTATAAACTGTATTATGGTTTGGAACCTACCTATAAACTGTATTATGGTTTGGAACCTACTATAAACTGTATTATGGTTTGAACCTACCTATAAACTGTATTATGGTTTGGAACCTACCTATAAACTGTATTATGGTTTGGAACCTACCTATAAACTGTATTATGGTTTGGAACCTACCTATAAACTGTATTATGGTTTCGAACCTACCTATAAACTGTATTATGGTTTCGAACCTACCTATAAACTGTATTATGGTTTGGAACCTACTTATAAACCGCAAAACGAAAATATTAAGCAAAAAAGAAAGTTTCATTTGGATTTTTGTTCTTACTTTCTTACTCCTCTATCAGATGAGTAACTTTATTTTTCTTAACACATTCTGGGTGGCAGGTCGCTATGGCGACAACAAATTTCATCGTGGCGCCTAGTATTTTCTCCCATCTTATTCGTACGTAAGACTGTGCTAAATAGAACTCGAATCTGATAGAATTCCGAAACGTTTATCCATGTTCCCTTTTTGTCAATAAACAATGTTGTATATCATAAGTGTCGTAATCTTGTTTATAATCAAACTTCGTTTTTCTTCGAACACATCGATTGCTAATATATTAGACCTATTCTGAAACAACCTGCTTGGTCTATCGATATCGTATTGATTATTTGAATTTCATTCATTGCAACAATCCACCTAAGTTATAGTTATTTAGTCTACTTTTTAATAATTGCACATACTGAAGTTAAACTTCAATATATGCTATATAATAAAGTTTAATAATTAACCCTTTGTTTATTAGTGTAAAACTTTGTATTGTGCCATAACCACACAATCGACTCAAAATATATCCCATAACTTTTCTATATCGGACCTGGCTTCAATTTTTTGGGCTGGCTCCTAGATGTGGAAATATTTGTCAAGGATTGCCCAAGTCAATTTTCAATTAACCTTAAGCATGTTATTCACAATTTACACACAAGTTTCATACCAGCACCACTAACTTATAAAGTCAGACAATTAATGGACTTCAAAATTTAATTTACATTCTTATATAAATCATAATTTGATTAATATATAATTTTCATTTCAAATACTTTGAAGAATTTAATGTACAAGAACCGAAGCAAAACATTAGAAGCGGCGTTAATTTGATCAAATGTTCAACAGTAGCCTTACTTCCTAAAAGCTTATGTTTTTTTCTGAAAAACGAATACGGAACGTTTATTACATAAGCGGCCTTATTCGAATCGAAATTTCAATCATGAGACATATTTACAAATCTTTTTTTTTTTTATAACACGGTCATACATTTCTTTATTGTATATGGAACAAATATACTTTAAGAAAGCACGGGATTTTCATAGATCGAATGGTATATATAAAAAATCTTAAATTAGCACTCACCGGCAACTCTGGATACCACAACTGAATACTGGGATCTGACAGTCACTCTAATAACACACCAACGCGGAAAACGAATTTATTATTTTTGCGGTAATGGGGCGCGAACCATGGACTCTCGGGTGTACAGTCCAACAATCTAACTATATGCCACACATGGCCCTCTACTGGTATGAAAATACAACATCACATACATACACTAAAAATAGCATTTCCCTGCCGTTGTAAGCTATTGGCCAAAATCGTGCGGATATTACAAATAGCTTGAAGCTTAAAAGAAGGCATAGATCATTCCAAGGATCCAATGGAGACACACAAAGAATTATTATAATTAATCAGAAATTAGTGGACAGAACCTGCTCTTTCTGGTACATTTGCCACTTCTCTGATTTGATCAGTTTAAACATATGATATAAACTTAACACCTGAAATATAATTCCCTCGCTGTTCTTACAAAGAAAAGGGTCATGAGTATTACAAGTTCTAAAGCTTTTGGAAAAATTATGTTTTGTTTAATGATTGCATATTACATATTTCATAATAATAGCCAACTTCCGATGAAATATATATACTTAATGTAAAACCAACCTGGCCCTCAGTATTTAAATATACTTTTCTTGTGTTTCTCCTTATCATTGTTTCATCAGTTAGGTAGCCTTGGTGTTACATCAGTTCGCGAGGAATCTATTTTCAGTTATTCAGCAAACTAAACATTAGTTTGTGGGGAATATACAATAAATTATTCAGCAAACTAAACATCACTTCGTGAGGAATATACAATAAGTTATTCAGCGAACTAAACATCAGTTCGTGGAGAATATGTATTAAGTTATTCAGTTAACCAAACATCATTTCGTGGGGAATATATAATAAGTTATTCAGCGAACTAAACATCATTTCGTGGAGAATATGTATTAAGTTATTTAGTTAACCAAACATCATTTCGTGGTGAATATGTATTAAGTTATTCAGTTAACCAAACATCATTTCGTGGGGAATATGTATTAAGTTATCCAGTTAACCAAACATCATTTCGTGGGGAATATGTATTAAGTTATTCAGTTAACCAAACATCATTTCGTGGGGAATATACAATAAATTATTCAGCAAACTAAACATCATTTCGTGGGGAATATGTATTAAGTTATCCAGTTAACCAAACATCATTTCGTGGGGAATATACAATAAATTATTCAGCAAACTAAACATCAGTTCATGGGGAATATACAATAAATTATTCAGCAAATCAAACTACCAGTTCGTGGGGAACATATAATAAGTTATTCAGTTAACCAAACATCATTTCGTGGGG